TATACTGGTAATACATGAAGACAACACACTCGTTTAAAAAATCTTTACACTTCGAAGACCTTTAAACAGTTATAAATCCCTGTCAATTTTCGTCGAAACGCTGTGCCGAAAATGGAACCATCGATACCAAAACAAACAGCCAGTGCAAAAACATGAAGGACGGACCTGGAAACTAGAGAAGTGAGAAATCAGCAAAATGACGACATATTTAAAACTGACCAAAAATGAAGTGGTGTTGTACTGCTGGACGGCTTATTCAACCACCTCGTGGTGTAGCATAGATTTTTCATGGTCACTTCCGTCATTATGTTCACCAGATAGTCCATTTCTACGTCAAATCTCCACCCTAGTAATTTTACCGTTGCTCGTGCGACGTTATCCGGACTATACGATACAACTAAGGCCTGATCTTAATGTCTTACCAAGGTTTCGCAATGTTCTAAGCCTCTGTGGTGGCTATTATTTTGCTGTCTACGGGGTTGCCTTTGAAAGCAGCTGGCTACTATTCGATCTTGACATTGAAGTGTGCAATTGTTGGTCAAAATACTGTCAGAAAATTACAGAAAGGCAAACGGATCCCGCATTGACACCGTTATTATCTACGTGCGCATGCCACATCACACATTTGGTTGAATGTCGTAACCGTCATCATTCATGTCCACTTTGCCGCTTTTCCCAAGTAATACTAGTATATAAGGGGCAAAGTCCAAACCACTGTTTTGATTCGGGGTTATTTTTATTAACTTTGTTAGTGTCTGACCCCTTGGGAATAGCGAATTTCCGATGAAACATGGTGGCCGAACAAAAGTTCAAAGGATGTAGGGAATCGGTATTTGTGTAATAAACTGCATCCCTCCTCCCCAAAGCAAAGGTCAAAAGTTTTGGTCAAAGAAGACTTGTCGGCTCGCTCAGTGGCATCAAGAACTTGTGGAAAAAGGTTGCAAAGTAACATAATAACAGAAACGGAGGCTACTGAATTACTGGGTAAAGTAATATATTCCGTGTGTTCCGAATTATCTGGAATCATCGAAGTCAACACAGCTCCTGATCGGTTCTAAGTCCCTACTCTTGCTCATTTCTTACCGATTTTACGTTAGGGCTTCCATAAAATGCATTCTCAAGGACTAATTTTCTTTAGCTATTTTTGATAGTGACTGTTGTGGTGACGGGTAGCACTGGTTCTTTTCTTGATTTGAGAAAATGTCTTTGACTAACCGTGCGAAAATTCGCGTGAGCGCTAAATTATAGGCACATGCTAATTTCATAGAAATTATTCCAACCAGATCATTTCCTTCCGGTAAATTTCAGTGAGGGGATTTTATATCAACAAATAGTACTCAAAATATATTCAAAGACTCAATGATTCAGAATCATTTACTGATGCTGTTAAGCCGAATTCGCTGGCAGTGTTTGTTCATTCACTTTAGCCGGTGCATTGTTTCACAAAGACTACTTACTCTGCCAAGATTAAGCGCTGCTCAGCGATCGCATCTCCACTTTCGCTGGTTTGCATCCTGTTCAGACGACGCGACTGGATTGATTTCGCTTGAGTTAGCAAATCAATATATTCCTGGATGTTTGACTCTCCACCCGCACACATATCCCCCAGTAATTGTAGTGCCCTTCTTAGTTCACTGGGATCAAGAGAACCTTTAGTAAATCAAATGGCGTGATTAAGTTAAGCATCCCCTCTACAAGGAAAAATGAAAACTGAACCTCCGAACTGACTGACGGATACGGATACGTTTTACATTGAGCAACTACTTTATGAACAGGTTGATCCATCTTTACAGTATAGATCACTTATATCATTGTGTAATATGACAGAATGAACCGAAAAACGTCCAGACTGTGATAGCTAGTCAAAAATGCGTGGCATGTTTCATTTGCTTCTTGTTATGCGGGAAGAAAATAGAAAATATTGACTAGTTCTCAAAACCTGATACAAAAACTTCACTTAATGAAGGACGAGTCGGACAAGTAACATACTGTGATTAGCCCGACGCAGCTTTTGGCCTACCTGATCGGTCGACATGTGTGTAAACTTGCATAAATTGGATGAATATACACGATCCGTAAAGCATTTATTAGTACTGATAGTGTGTGAAATTCAAGAAGCATGATCCTTCACAGGAGAGATGAATTGATAGCCATTTAATTCGAATGACTTCTGAATGGGTTATTCACTTGCTAAAGCAAAAAAGAATACGGACGAATAGAGCTACTTTGCAAGAGAATGTCTCTGGACTATGTGCCTCCAAAAGGGGACCAAATTGATTGGTGTTCATTTACTTGCGTTACGAAAAATGGATATTTCCCCGAAACAGATCCTGCTAAGCAGGGTGCAACTGGAATAAGAAGCACTTTTGTGCGCTCATCACCCATACTCTAAACCGATTTTTCAACTTTTGATAAGAAATGACATTAATTGTATTCATTCAAAGAATGTTTTGAACACCACTACACTACCTCTCATCGGATTAACGCAAGAACGCACATTAGAGTGACCTTTGTGGTGCAACCGTTAGCCACGCGAATGATCATCCCATGCGACTAATGCTTTAGGATGCCTATAAGTACGAAAAATCCAACAGAGCACGATAAATGTCATTTTATTTTATAGAACATTGCTATTCACATGCACATTTCATGAACAAAATTTGGGCTGACCAGTGTTACATACACTTTCACTCCAAAGCAGTTTTAGGATAGTGTTTTACGCGATCTTGTCAGATTCCCAAAAACTGCGAATATCCTTGCGATTACGTCGCATACTAAATGGAAGACTCAGAAGTTTTTATCCGGTTCTTGAGACTAATAGCTTTGAAGTTTTTATAGGATTCAGTGTTACGGTACGTCGTTTGACAAAACAGTGTGCAAAAAGGTGGGCGCCTTTCCCAGAACTCGCCAGGATACCATATCCCAAGGAAGATCAAGCCATAAACAACCAAACGGAAGTGGGGGCTAAAGTTGTACGGTATTTTTCACCGGTTTACTCCCTGAAAGTTTTTTGTATTCAAAAATGTTGCACAAAGTGTCGTTCAATTCTTTGATCAAGTATCCGCTTATAGGGGTGAATGTATTTCTGTCACTCGTTCTCCACGGTAACAGTAGCCAGTATTATTTGAAGTATAGTAAAATGACTATTTCTGTTGAATGGTCCTCAATGCCAGTTTGGTGTCCACCTAGATATGCAGAAAATTACGGTCCAACATTGTGCCCCTTGCAAGTTAGGCTGCTCCTAAGAGCAGAGTGGTTTCTCCAGTCTCAAGGATGTGCACATTTTTGGGGCAGCATTTTGTACGCTACCTACAGTAAGCAAGTGAGTACGAGAATGCTATATCATCAGTGAAAGGGTTATCATAGCGTAGTTGATATCACGAACAAGATAGCAATAGACCGCAGTAAGCATAAAATGGGCTACAATCTTTACGTCTTTCTTGTTTGTTTTTTTGCTTAGGCGTAAGGACTCATACGCTGGACAGTAAGTGGATCACACTATGACGTTAGTCACATTCGTCTAAGGGAAGAAGCTGAAGAAAATCAATTTCGACTGCCTTGAATACACGGTTTATGGACCGTAGCGATTCGAGTTTGCAGACCATTCTTATGTGGCAGTAAAGCAGAAAAAGCGATATTCACGTTTTGTCAAAGTTTACTTACATGCAGCATTTTTTTCGGTCATCATCGGAGTCAGAACTCGCTTTGCCTTTTCGTTCTGGTTGAGCTTCACTAACAAGCTGGCATGATCCAATCTCAGTGCTGGTTGACCGCTCTTGACCGCAGCCTCGTAGTATGACACGGCCTTGGCGTACTGATGTGTCTTTACCAGAGCTTGACCCATTTTGGCAGCGAGACGAAGATCGTTCGGGTTCTTCCTCAGAACTGTCTCATAAACCTCCATTGCCCGCTCTGGTTCTTGGATTGTCATTAATGCATCGCCCAGAAGGAAATGGGCCTCAGTAGTTCCCAGTTTATCGGCCAATTCGCTGAATGTGGCACAGCATCGTTTTCGTAAAGATGATTAACATTAAACTGAAATAATCGTTCTACGGATTCGCCAGAAGCTTTTGTGGTGTAACTTTATCGACTTATTTTTAGACTGATATCATACCATAAATGGACTCTGGTAATCAACAGTCCTTTCTTTTAGAATTCATACAAGGTGAGCAACAGTCAGAGTTTTTTTTACAAATAGTTTTATAATTTCCTTATTCGCAGGCTAGTACCATAAGAAAATCCTAGCTTTGTTTATGGAAGGCATCTAAAAAGTAAAAGCCGACAGTTAGTCGGCATTTTTTAACTGCGAACACTTGCTCTCAGATATTTCGTCGCAATTAAAATGACGAGCCATACATAATTAAAGCTTAAATTAATCAAATTAATTAATTAAAGAGCAGATCGACCTGTTTGTTTCTTTAATAAATGGAAACAAACATTAGTACTATTAGGTTGTTCATTAGTTCAAAATTTCTAGAAATTTTGGAAATTTTGGATTAACCCTTAGATTTCAAGATCTCGAATCATTCACCCTAATACAAAAGTGTACTTGGAGGCCAAGGTGCAATAGCATCTTGGTACTCATTCCGCATTGCGATATTCCATGCAACAAAGATTATTCAAAATCTAGGCCGTTCATTCCATATAGAGTGCGCAGTACACAACAGGCACTCATGTGTGGTAACTATGAGAAGGATGTATCCAATCAGATAAGGATAGCATATGGAGTGAGGCGGGTTAATGGTATTTTCGAATGGGAATTCAATATTCCAATGAAAACACATTCCTTATGGTCAAGAGAAGTTTGCTAAGCTATGAAAGGGGCTAATCCAGTTAGCAAAGTATAAGCTTTTCTGGAATAAAAGGTAGAGTTTATGAGGAGGCTGTTATTGGTCCCCACCAGTCTGCAACTCCTGAGAGCAACTTCTGACCCTAACTTCAGATGATATTTTTGGCGACAACTTTGTCGCATTCTGTGTGGTAGCAATGTCAACAGAGCAAATAAAGTTTGACTTCTCTGTAACTGCAGTTAACTTACCGGTAACAAGCAGCATAAAGTTTCTTCTCCTTTCGGTGATGTAGGTAAATGTTGGCCATATGTTGCCTCGCCGTCAGATAGTAGGGATGTTCCGGCCGAATCGTGCGCAAAGTTGATAATGCACTTTCATGATCACCCTGACTCAGAGCGAGATCGGCACTCGCAATTGTGATTCTGCCAAGCTCTGGGCTTCCAGCATAGGCCATTTGAGCATCTTGAAGCGCTTTTGTTGCTTCATGCTGAACCAATCAAAAACGATGATTCGATGATTAAAGACGGTTGTACCGTTACAAAACCCCTTCAAATCTCTGGTACAAATCAGGGGTGTGCTTCACTAAAGGATTGCTCTCCTCAGAAAGTGTGAACTCACTTAGCAGAGGAGACCTAAAAGTCCCATGCATGGCAAGCTCTGGTACCGGCCAGATAATCTATGCTGGTTAACGGATGAAGCAGTTAGCCGTTTTTATTTGCAGGTGCTTTTATATGGTGATCTCTGGGTGAACAATCCAGTGCGATGAGTGTTTTTTATTAACGCATCGAAATTTTCCTGCATCTGCAGTATATATTATGTTCAAGTCATGAAATATAGATTATCGTTGAATCACAAGTAGAAGACAATTATATAAAGGAATGTTAGTGTTCGGAAACTTCCCAGGTTTTTTCTGGCAGCTGCATTTTATCGCGGAATAGTTCAATACACTATAATAACGTGAATCATTCGAAGTTGAGGGTGGAGGTATCGTTATACACGATTGATGGTGCTCTCTTTAATAGAGTGTAGTCAGTTTAAACAACAAACGTAGTCCACTTTACGCCGCTTGGCTGGCCTCATAAGCCACCCTAAACCCTAATGCCTTTCAATTCGTCGCTTATTCCCGCTCCATCCTACAACCAGAAGTAGTGGATTGTTATGAATGCCAGCTTTATGTTCCTCTGAAGTTTCTACACTAACTAAAGACTCGTAGCTGATACAACGATCAGCAAAATAATTCGTTTCACCAGCACCAGAAAAACCGTATGTTTGCAACCACCAAGAGAATAGAAGCATCGTTTGCATTGCTGTTTCATCTGAAATCCGACGGTTTCACCACCAAGGCCGCATGATTTACTGTTAAACCCATTTTAAACTTTGGAAAGTCTCTCTCCACCAATTTTGAGTAGGGCTTACCAAAGATAACCTCTTCTTGTGTAGGAGAAGCGGTGTATATGGTATGTTTGCAGGTCGTCATACACCCCTCTGATTTCAGCACTGTGGTATTCAGAGAGCGTACTTTCCTTTCGTTGTCAAATTTGCGGTCACACTGGCGAAACGGTTTTTCATCTCCGGATGCTGCAAATTATTGAACCATCCGGACATTTAGCGGAAAATCCTGACATTAATTATAAGGTTGACTAAAGTTGGGAAACCAGGCCTATCTGGTGGACAAAGACTGACGATACGCGCATTGAGTTGTACATAGTTTCCATGAACTTTATGGTTAGTGTCATGCAGAGGAGTAGTATTACCTGGTCGCTTGCCCCGAAACTGCTTGGATATTCTATACTTCAAAGTTTGACGCCCTATTGGGGAAGGGGATTGAGTAACACCCTCTAGTTAACTGGTAAATTAGCTACAACCTTGTACCTCCGAATAACTTAAATAATGAAACGTACTTGGAGCCGATTCCTGGTCCAATATACCGTGAATTGTATGATCATGCACACAACTTGATATTTTTACTTAATTTAAAGCGACTTGGAAAGTAATTCACTGGTTTCAGCACCCATGGAAAACGCTGCCTAGTTATGTACAGATAAACCAACTGAAGCCGAAACCTTGTATTACACTCCACTTATTTTGTACTTCGATTTTTAGTGAATTGTTCCTGTTGTTCCTAGAATTGTATGTACACGGAAGATCGCCACCTTCTTTCACGCAAAACCAAGACGACAAAGACTGGTCTGTTTCACTAACTTTCCTCTTACAGGATGCTGTTTTGGGGGTGATTTGTGGCAAAATATACCATCAAGAAGTAGCAAACAGCCCTATGTAAACCAAGTGATTTTCTTGTTTATTCCAATTCACAGTCGACCGTAATTCAAACGCCGTGGTTGAGGGCATTTCAAGTGGAAGGTTGATAACATTTTCCCAAGGTGGGAAGTAGGAGAAGAGCATTCAAACGTTTGGGAAGTTTGAGTTCCCAGGCTCTGATGAAGTCCCTGATTTATATTTTGAAAAACCGTATAACATTGACAGCAATCCACTGTATAACTGCTGTGCCACTCGAAAGTGGCACGAAGGCTGAACTATTGGGGCGCCTTCCAGGTGTACCATGAGCAATTAAAAAATCCTGATTGTGTTCCTGATTGGAACTGACTCATTCATTGGATAATGTCCACTTTTATTCAGTCATTTCTTACGTTTGTCACTCCGAAATGTAAACCAGAAAGACCATATCATCACTTTCAGCCAGGGTCAATTTTTTAACAACAGTATATCTAAGAATATTGCAAGAAACTGGAAAAGATCTTGCAAGATTTTCCGCGGTTCCTTTCAAAGTTCCTAGCCTAATCCTGTCTATGTATACTCAACCGTTCAGCCGAAACTTTGGTTTCCGAGAAATCCAAACTAAAAAATAGGCGGCGGTCAATTTGGACCGCAGGTTTCTCCGGCTGAATCTTCAACTGGCACCTCCCAAACACCTACATGAAACTTTCTTTAGTGCCGCACATCGTAAGCCATGAAGACGACACTAGAACTGTACCTGGGTTGTGCTGTCGTCATACGCCGTTGCCCCAAGACCTGACTACGCACTACTAACCAGATCAGGGCTGTCGTGCCGCACCTTTGGGTCCTCACACAAGTGTAGGACCGCCCAAAAGGTTTCTTGCAAACCGTCAACTGGTGATAAAACGTCGTCCACTTTACCTTCTGGATGAGCCCCCTTTTATCTGTGTGGCGCCGTTAGATGGAAACAAGCGAACAACGTGGGATTTTACCGTTAATAAATTGTATGCTTTATGGCAGTTTGGGGGACTAGCTATTCCTGCATTGAATTTCCGACAATAAGGATCGTTCACCTCTTGAATCTACTTACTAGTTGAGTAACTGTTCGTTAGAAGTAACGGCTCTTAGTTGAGCCAAAAACCCACGCTCTAGAATTACAGTTTGTTGTGGATATTGTGGATACCTCTTTTCGACACATTTTGGTCAATTTTGTCCAAACGTATGGAGACCGACTTGCCAGCACTTTTTCTTTACTTTTTTAGACTTTGATTAATGCACTTCACCACAACTTCTTGGAAATTCATAAGATGGCCGCTTATGATCGGTAGAAGTAGCCACGACGAGGTGTGCAAGTCGAATAATTTAGGGGATTCAATTCGAGGATGCAGCCAAATTTGCCCAAAACGATTGTTATAGGATCGATCTAGTGTTCTAGAGTTCGGCATGGCTCTATTGTTATTCCAGCGGTGGCCTTTTATTCGATTTTCACACACTGGCTGCACAAAAGTCAACCCAAAACAAGAGGTTTGACCGCATCCTGCTTGACCGAGTAAATCTAGTCACTTGCTCCAATGGTAGGTACATTTCCATCCCTTTCAAGTACTTCAGTAATTTTTCTCTCAGAATTAGGTTACCTATGTTAAATGTCTGAACATACAAGAAATACAGGGTGCAACTACGAACATTCCTTGTTCCAAGAGCGCCAGACGGTAGCATCCGCTAGGGCAAAACCGGGCTAATTATTAACCCCTTGCGGTCTAAGATACCATACGAAAATGAAATCCGTAATCCTCTCTGAAGATTTCAAAATGCACTTTTTGTATTTCCTGACAATGTGCGATCTTTCAGTTGAAACAGAAGTGACTCGGGGAGAGAAGCAGTCAAGCAGGGGGTCGGTACGTGCACAAAGCCTTCAAGCGGTGAGCATAGATAAATGTGAGGTGTGTTCCTCATTGACACAAACCCGAGAAAATTACAAAGTTTGCGGTACCTGAAAAGGATGGTAGTCTGTTTCGCATTCACAAAGCTGCATATTGGCCTGTTTTTTTCCAAAAGTGAAAAGTTTACGTATCCATCAACTGCACACCAGATGAGAAGCGCAAACAGCCGACACAAATTTCTTGGCATTATAGAGAAGGGGGAATTGCGTTCGTTTGATTGCACTTAATTTAACATTACATATTTGTGGCAGATATATTTGTGGGAGATAACTATACCAGCTCTAATTCCACTTGCGATGCAATAAACAGCCATGAAACTTGCTAGAATAACACATTAGGCATAGCGACTCAAGTTTAATACGCAGATTGGGTCACTGCTTCCGTGCAACCCCCCGAGTAGACTCCACCAGTTTCTTTAAGTTCATGCAACATGTGAAAGCATAATACTCTCTGTCCGTAGGTTGGACATCTTGCAGTTTCCAATTTGCAAACTTTTGACAATTACCGCAAACAAACGACAATGCAGAATTTCTGAATTTCCAAAATAAGCGAAATTCTTGCAGAAAACTAGCGAGCGTGACGAACAACTTGTTAGTCAGCCTGTGTAACCTACCGTCTCTCCTAGAGAATGATGTGCCTCCGCCAGTTCTAGTGACAGCGTCAGTTGATCATTCATAGAAACTGCCTTGCTGACATCGAAGCCAATATTGTCTCCAGTGCGTTTGTGGGAGCGACTCGCTTGTGAATTGCCTAATGAAGAAATGGCTTGTTTCAAAATCTGGACTGCAGCTTTTGCGTTGCCTTGTTTAGTTAGCAGTCTTGCACGGACAAGCTGATACAGGGGATGATTTCGCACCTCGAAATTGTTACTCAGTCCGGTTTCCAGTGCCTGTTCAGCCAGTTTTAGGTTTCCTTGGTAAAGATATATCTTGAAAGGCAGATAAAATATAATGATACTCACAAGTCAATAAAACTGCTCATAGTTTTTGCCTTCATAATAATGATAATATTTTTAATGGAATAAAGCATGTTTTTATGGTCATCTTCCTTTGTCTTATGATTTGTAAGGCATTATAGGCTTTACAGCTAGAAAAATACGCCAGACTTGGGTGAAAGACGGTGACAAAGTCGGGAGAAAATTGGCCAGCAGACCAGACGTGGATACTAGTTTGATGTAATTGAAGTGTCAATATCCTTCCCTCTCTAGAATCAGTTTTAATGTACTCTGCAGCAGTATGCTCTTTTTACTTTAAAACGTTATCAACCAGCGAGTAAGGTGACACCGTATATCTATGTATGGTCCCGATAAGACATTTTTGTCCCTTGAACAGACGTGTCAGTTGAATACAATTACATCTTGCGCGCCATGGGAATTTGACAGCTTTTCTTGTATCATCACGAGTTCACTGCGTTCGCCCGTGAAATATGGCGATAGACGTGACTTTTATTATAGTAACAAAACATGACAGGCTACAGTAGCTATTGGACAAAATGGAAACAGATTCAACCTCATCCACTCATTTATTTTGTTCAGCAAGATCATTGTTATGACAGTCAAGTTAAGACACTGAGGAGAATTGAAATTTCGGTTTTGGAATTCATCTTGCAATCGAGGTAAGCCCATACTGAAGATCTGACAGTGCACAACTAACGGGGCTGTACGGGTATATATATCTCTATTACAGAGTGAAACTGGTGCCAATGAGATGCCGCAAAATAGCTGCTAAGACTGTAGTTATATTGTGGGGATCCAACCCGTATGCCTAAGTAACTCTGAATTACAAGAGGGTATCTTTGAGAAGACACTGTGGAGACCGTACTGGGACCGCGTACAAGATACGTAGATTTCCATCTACCTGTTCCTGTTGGCATGCAATTACGCCACGTTATACTTATCGCAAGAATAATAACCTTTCGTCAAGAAATGACACATTGCTAGAATCCAAAAATTATAGGTATTTGTGGCGTACTGACGCTAATCTATCACGGGTGAACTCGTCAAATTCCATCCTAAAGTTGCAACCGCAGGTTCACGCCCAAATCTATTTGAACTTCTCCAAATATTATTCCTAATGTAGTTTTCCTTACTTGATTCGGTCAACTTTTTTCATTCAATTACGCTGGTTAGCATGAGTCAGCTCCGGTCTTCTGAACAAATCTTTCGAATGCATTCAAACCTGGTTCTAACTGATTTGACTGTTTCGTAATTGTTTTTATTACACACGGTCATATATGAAGAAGAGCACAGAGTTCCGATAGCACATCACTAAGGTCAGATAATTCACCACCTAGCATTGATGAAATGATGACTCGGAAAAATACGTCCCACTTGGGAGAGACGACTGGCAAAGTTCTATACACAAGCATTGATGAAATGATGACTCGGAAAAATAGCGTCCAACTGGGAGACGACTGGCAAAGTTGCTATACACAAACCATAAGGTAGGCTCACTTGAGCTAATAGAATGTGGCCGTCCACAAGCGTTGAATCCAAATCCAAGCATTTCTTCACAATTGTTAGTGCCATCATGCTGTCACCGAGTAAGTAGTGTACATAAGACGTCAGGTAGAGCGCTTTCTGGTACCCCGGGGCATTTGTTGTTATTTGGTCTAGTATCCGCAAACAGCGAGTAAGTGGACCGTCCTCTGGGTGCCGGAAAGTAGTTATTTCCGCACTATGTGCATCCAAGCTGATCGATGTCATTCCTGGAGGCTGCTGTGGTGCCTGAGCCAAATATTCCATGACTAGCTGAATCATAAAATCTGCATTCATTTGTTCATAGTAGCGAATTCCGCGTGCACATCCCTGTAAGTATTGTAATAAAAACAGCAGAGCTTTTAAATAATTCTTCCGGTTTTTGGTTCAGTGCTAATAAAAGTTATCTGGTGAAAATCTTCTGGAGTTTTATTGCCCCACTTTGTTGGGAAAGCTGAACTAAGGAAGGCGGATTTGGCGTGGGCGGACAAAGATTGGTTAGCGCCGAAATGACGCTTCCATTATTCACTTCAAGTTTAGATAAATTGATGATAAGAACACAGCGTTGTGAGTGAAGTCTCTGACCTCACAACCCTCTGTCTGCTGGCCCCGCCGCTACTGAACACACTCACACAGCAACTCACACATCCATACAGCACATATGCATATACGTGCGGGTGAAACAAATAAAGCTGTTGCTCTTTCTGAATGAATTAGCTAGAATACCATCTGCTTTAAACAGTACACTTCACGTTACTAACACCTGAAACGCACAGTGGTGAATTATTCATGAATCATCATTTATGGTAACTATACTGTAGCTTCGGAAATCAGACCAAAATGAGAGGGGGGAAGATGTAAATATTATCTGTAACCATTTAGTGACAGCGCTTTCAATGAATTGGGGGGCTCAGTTAACATTGCATATGGAAGAATAGAGAAGCTGTCTTCATACACGTAATCAGTTCACTAGTACCTAATTGGATTTTACTAAATCCAGACTTATGCCGCTATCTCGCCGACTTGCTTCTATTGACAGTCAAGTTAAAGGTATCAAAGATGGAGATGATGCTAACAATAAGCGGTAGACTTCTGCTGCTGATGTAGAGGACGATGAAGCTGACGGTGAAGAAGATGACGGTAGTGATGGTCATAATGATGGGGATGTCGTGACAATGTTGACCGCGCTGATCACGATACTGGCGAGGATAGCTGCTTAGGATAACGATTATGGGGATAAAAGTGCAAAGATTACCAAGCAACCAGCTGTTCACTCTGTATGAGTAATAAAATTCTCCAGAAGAGGCAAAATTCGACTGACACCTTGATGCCACTGTTGGATGAATCCTGATGCGATGAAGAATGATTCTTGGCATGAAATCATCGAGTATTCTCAAAGCATAGAAAGCTCCGTTCACGTTTCCATTCAATCAGACAGCTGTATTTGGTAGTCAAGATGTCGAAGATGATGACAAGAAATATTAACCACGAAGTGTATTTGGTCTTCACGAGAACAGTTTCACATTCTGGGGCATTTGTTGAATTTTGGAGTGATGGCAGAGCTCAAGAGGCAAGAGAGTCCTGCTCTGTTTACAGCTTACTTTCAAATGTGCTATCTACTAACAATACATCAAAACCATAAAACGCCTAACAAATGTTTTGCATCAGCATTTGTTCTACGCAGATCACCATGAAACGTAGTGCAAGAAACGGATACGCATCCCTAGCGTAAGAGCAAAATAGCAACCCATGATAATATTCAGGATCTTGGATGTTGAAATGAACTGGGCGATCAGTAGCTTTGCATATGGTAGTAGCTGGTAGGCTGATAAAACAGAAGATAGACCGAAATTCGAAGGACAAGGTCTTCGTCTGTTTCTCGTTCAACTGAATCTTCCTAGTGAGAAAATGGTAAGCCGACACTGAGCACATTGTTTCATCAAGATTCATTAATGCCTGTCACGCACATTGGGTTTCATTTGACCATGATCAATACGGACAGTAACCAGTATTCAGCGGGATCACGTTTGCTACGTTGTGGAAGCCCGGTGATATGGTGGTGCACTTCGCAGTAATGTTTTTTCTAGTGAGGAAAAGAGACCCAATCAGTCCACCGCTGGTGTTTGTAGATATCAAAATAATTGTACATTAGTTCGAAAGGGCCCATAGAGGAGCAGAAGATCATAAGGATTCGCACATGAGAAACAGTAGCAATATTCACTTAGATAAGTAGTAGGAAGTACGGGAACTGTTCCAATCTTTCTCCAGTCAGTTTTCACTCAAATTCTCGTTGACACGTTAATATTTTTCGAAAAGATTCGCAATCCCATGAGTAGCAGTCTTGCTTCTTCTCTATTATGAATTTTTAAAACAACTCCAGATCACTAATTTTGATTGTTGGGGTCTCTAGTCATCTGGAGCTCTATGTTGAACTTGTTTGCAATAATGTCGCAAACGAACATTCTCATCATCACGTGAGTTTTCTGGCCTTTTCGGGGCGTGCAGGCACAAATTTGCACTGAGTCAAACATTTACTTGTTAGGAGTCGTTGTCAGTCCTCAGAAAATGTACTAATGGAATTCTTAAAATAATGCGATAAGATGTAAAAGGGCCCGTGTAAGTCTAACGGTGATTTGAAAGGATGCTGACATGTCTCATGCCCGTTTTTTTCACGCCCATGACATGGAACCTGAAAACTGTAGCGCTTTCTTCCGGAGATGTGGTCCGGTTATTTCCACATTCTTGTCTAGACGGTAAAAATGAGCCGTTTGGAAATATCTTACAAAGTGCTGCAATACTGTAGCATGATGAAAGCTTGGTGGACTGACTGCGCAACATTCAAGCGCATTCTGTATAATGTTTTTGCTGTGCATTAGTTTTGTTGTGTAGATGCAAACTGGGACACCAGACTAACCTCCAAACTCTTGAGATGAAGCTCAGTAGCTTCGTCCAGCTTTGCCAAAATCTTCTGTGACGAGCTTGATTGTTTTCTGCCAAGCACGGCGGCCAAATAACTTAATTCCTTTAAGGGAGAGAGGAATATTGCAGAATGTAACAATTAAAGTGGACAGTGGATTGTCTTGGTTCTTATCCGACTGTCTGATATGAAATGGGGCACAATGTACACCTCCAGCTTATATCATCCTGGATGCACTTCGTCGAACCTGTAAAATAAATAAATTTAACGCTGATGAGCAAACACCACACTTGAGTGGATCTTCAATAAAAGCTCCGAGTTTTACGTTTACTTCGGTGCTCACATTGGATGCATCGCGTCATCAGCTGCATAAAGAAAGGATAAGCCGTATTTTTTACACGAAAACATAACAATTTTCTTAGATTTAAACGGCAATATTGGGGAATTCATTGCTGACTTGTAAAATGGTAGACCAAAATCAGCCCACTGCATAATGCCAGGCTTTTGGACCTGGATAAAGCTTTCCCTTTTGTGGTCGTTGTTCTGTAGGTTAGATAGGAAATTCTCCGTGGAAATAGTTAAGTTGCTGAAAAACTTTCACTTTTTTTATTGCATGTTTTTTAGATAAGTGCCGTAAAAGTCTCGCCAAACAGACCAAAAATGAGAGACTTAAAAATACCAACTTGTTAAGATTTTTGTAAACTGTCCACGAATAAAATGGATACTGCGCGAAATTTTGCTGTAGTCCCGGAAGCATTCCGTCGCTTTCTGTCATCATTCGATTTAGGTTTTCCTTTTAGCCCGATTTCATTTATCAGGTAAAGAGCATCACTACCAGTGAGAAGGAAGAAGGTCTTCGCTGCGGTGTTATTTATTCGGAAATGCCAACTGACCGGTTACAGACCATTGAACAGGGAAGCAAAACTCTAATCTGCATCTTAGTCACAAAAACTGGACACAGATCTTCTCCTGAACGAGTCTTCTTGAGCTTTCCTGGAGATTCATTGACTCCACTCATTCGTCGGTCAAATCCAAGCAAATGTTACAAAGTGACCCCACGAATTTCACAACAGAATTCCCTTTTTCAATCGATGCAAAGCGAAATTCTACGAACAACACATACTACTCGCGTGTCTCTCCGTCAGTAGTATCACCGTTACACCAGCAGAGTGTTAACCAAAACCTCTTTGATGTAATTAACGTAGCCTTTTAGACAATCGCCGTTTTACCGTTCTTGAACCTAGGAGAATTGCCTTTCTCCTGGCGGTCATGTATGTTAATGGACAATCTAGTCGAAACATCAAACTGGATGAGGCTTGTTTAGGCGGTTGGAATCTTGATACCTATTCCTTTTGGATGTTCATCCTGGCTGCGTGTACCTAGTTTTCATTCATTCGTACTGGTTGATGGTTCCCAAAGATGGATTCATATGAATTTGTTGAATATCACAAAAGTGAGTTTAATTTTAAGCTGTATTTTCAGAGGTGCGCTGCCAAAAGTTTTTGATCGGTCAACCCAGTGGTCAACTCGTGGATGTTCTGCAAAACGCTACCTGGAACATGCCTGACCTGTGTAGGTAGCATTGGGAAACAGTGGTTGAAAACATCTTTGCTTTATTGTTTTTCGGTGAAAAGCTGGATTTTTCTCTAGTCCCAATCAACGGCTTTGTGCCACTCAACCAGTATCCTGTGGAGTTTCTTTGACTGCTCTAAGCGATCCGCATTTTGAATCAAGGAAAAATCTGTTCTAGTGGCGTGTTCATCTCAATGGAAATATAAACAAGTGATAGCCACAGGGTGAAACCAACTCCCATGGAATCAAATAATCAGGACATTTAGTTGTTCCTAGTAGTGCCACCTTTGAGATTATGGTCAAATCTATATGTCATGATACACCATTATACACTGACTATATGGGGCTATACCATATAAGACACGTTCAGCTATCAAACGCACTATTCAGGAATACTCACTGAGGCCCACCGGCAGATCCAGAGTCTGTAGATAGATAGATAGCTATGACCAATTTTTTAAATCGACGATATTTTTCGGCTAATAAAAAGGCTGAAAATTCAGCAATTATCTGGCAACATTTTTGGGGTTGTTAACGGTTTACAAGACCGTAGTACTTAAGGTGAGGTAGGCTTAAATTGCTGGAACTTCATTGCCGCACTTCATCAGTTTTTCATCCCGAAACATGCACATTACTTCAAGAAAATGTTGGGTATTCTCAAAAACATTTTCAAATTTGTTGCCGATGAACCCCTTCATAAAATTCAAACTTTCGAGGCTGGCTATTTTAGGAAGCCTGGGAAGATGACAAGCTAGAAAATTAATGACTGAATGCACTGTTCCGGTTTCTATTGTGATAGTTACAAAATGGAGTTGAATCAACACATGCTGCTGTATTCCAACCTAGTTAAAACACGGACAGGTTGGATTGAAAAACAATTGGAAATACAGCCTGCAAACAAATACTGGACCATGGCCATACAACCATACGAAGGGTTGATGTTTCTCAAGGACAGGCGAATGAAACCACGAAACCCAAACTTCCGTTTTTGACATTCTTTTCAGTACTGACTTGGAGGTTTCAAGCTTTCCTAGCAGAATACCATGTTCACTATCCTTTACTTACTGTGAGCCTTCAGCCTACGCATAGTAACAGCTCCATTGTCCTGCGTCTGCATTATGGAGTATCGATAGTGGAGATTTTGTTCGTTCTCACTGAAGTGATTGGATATGACGGTTACCAAAATACACAGGAAGCGTTCAGCGCTTAGTTTTTAAATCATTTTAAACAGGGTTGGCACTAGTTGGTTGTGAAAATATGCTCTAAAATTTAGCGGCGGTTCGGAATTATTTCCCTATCCCAAGCCGATTTCCTGAAGCGGTTAAATTTGTTCATCTGAGACGTTTAACTCAATTCTTTTTCTCCGTGGGTGTGGATGGTAGAACGCTGACTAATTTATATATCATTTATTTGAGACTGTCTCGCAGGTCGCGTAAAATCTTCGAAAGCAGGCAAAGAGACGTTACTTCTTTTATACTTTCTTTTGTCGAATCGCAAGCTTTACGAGGTAGGAGCACAGTGACGAAAATGAAAATATACGATGAATTATCATAGCTCGCCTACAAAACAAATGCTTCGATTCAACAGTTTATGCGTGGCTCAAGCTGAGAGCCTCAAATAAATCAGGATGAAAGTATTTGGGGTATGCAATTTCGTGAATTGTGCATGGCTGGCAAGGATCAGATAAATGGCCCACGGTAAGGAGATTTTCTCCGAATAATGAGTCTGGATTCCTGATGACTGACTAGAAACTTTGCCTTATTGTGTGCAGTGGATGTCTTTGGACATAAAAACGAAGGGGAACCTCTAGAATCTTTTCAGTATCTTTACAAATCCCACCCAGACGGATTGGGAGAGCCCAAAGCTTTAAACTTTTCAGCTGAAAACGCAATGAAGTGTAACACTAACCAGCCAGTAGGACACCCGGAACCTTACATCTTCGATCGCAAGACACCTGTTGATTTACAAGTCACTCGTTGGATACTATTCGGTCTCTCTCAATTTTGTTCCACACTTGGATATCCAGAATGCTTAGGTTCACTAAAGCGATACCATCTTTCGATCCACGAAATTTCTTGACTTGGAACGCTCACTCGCCCAGGCAGTGGAGTATGAATGTGACTGTTCTTTGAAATATCTTTAGGCACTTTTCTGTTGCTCTTTTCGCCATCACAACCTGTGTTTTACGTGGACAGATAGGTAGAGCGTGTCAGTCTGCTTTCTTATCGTCCTGATCGATGTACAACGCTCCTGAAAAGCTGCAGGCTTAAATAAAGTCCTCATCCATTAGAAGAAGTAGTCTATATGAGTATGATGTCCTTTATACTAAGGGATTACTTTGGCTAGTTTTACTTACAGCAGATTTCCCGATCGTCTGTTGCAATTCATCCAAAAACTCTAATTGTGATAACGCTTCTTTGACGTTGTCTTGGGCAAGCTGACATTCGACGATACCTGTTGTGAGCGAAAATGCACAAAGCCTGTGGAATAATGTTAAAAATCCGCACAGAAGTCCACACAATGAAACTTAGTGACAATCGAAATGGAGGGAATATTGAAAAGCTCGTATGGTTAGGGCGACTTAAGATCTGAATACATTTCCGACGCAATTTTAAGCACAAAAACTCACCCAAGCACTCTTGACTTCCAGCTGAAAAGCTAAATGACGTTCAAATCACTGAAGCTAACGGGGAGCTTTTAGCGGAATAACTCTGTTTGATTCTGAAAGCAACTTACTTGAACTGTATACCTGGTCCCATTCGTTTACTCTTCTAGCTGGTATACACGTATCCAGCCTGTGTTGCTGAGAATGAGACACTAACACTATTTGAGAGACATTGTAAGGTAGTTGTATTCTTGGTCACATCTACTGGTTCCTGAGACCAGTGAAATGGGATGATCAGAATTTTTTACCTGCGTATTATTGGACCGTAGAAGATCTGAGAGTTTCATGCCAAAAGTTTAGATTTGGTCGAATACTTCGGCAAAAACGTTGGATCTTGAAACGCCAAGCCAGACAAGTGCTCTATCCTTAACTGATCTTATCAGGTCTGGATGAACGGATGTGGAACGTAACGGTCTGGTCAACGGTGTTCATATTGCACTTCCGTCGACCGATCTGCATAACTGGCGGATAAATGTTGGGGCAAAAATTGGTCTAAACCGGCTACCGACCCATGCAGGTGATCACCTGGTCGTTGACGCAGGTGTTTATCGGAATGGGGTTTTTGTACTTGGCAAGCAGTGGGCTTGGATTTGAATGGATATGGCAGTGAACTTGTGCTTGGGTCAGGGAGAATGAAAGCTGGAAGTGGTAGCCACGGTGTCCTCATCCTTCCCATCTGAAGACTCTCAGCACGCTCGTCGGGTGGTGTTTCTGGACACATCAGAGTGAATCCAAATCCTTTGGCATCATAGCCAATGGACGTAACACAAGAGTCGATAAGTAATAAAAAACATTCTAAGCAATACGAATAGTAAAACGACAGCGCGAATGAGCTAGCAGTTGATTTGAAGCAGGTTCCACACACAAATGAAATTCGAAAGATATTCGATGGACCAATGATTCGAATGCTCAGAATGTACATTCTGTGAAGCCATTCTTTGTGTTTCTAGGCCTATTCTTCAAGGGGGCATTTTGTTTTTGCTACAAAAAATTCGCCCGTACGGAAATATATCACCGAAACACTGGGTAGTTTCAATTGCCCCACACTCAACTCTCTTTCTAGAGTTGAAGGTATCAAAAATTGGTCTTGTGAACAAGCATTTTTAATTGAAAATGCTGAATAATCGATTGGTATTTAAGTGCGCTACAAAGAGTATGAGTTTGCGCTAAAAGCAAATATCACAAAATTTCCCAACAGAGATCATGCCACGAAAAAGTAAGAATATCTCCCTGTCAGAAAGGTCGGATTCCTGAAGGTTAGCCCAGAATAACCGAAACTTAACGAAATTCAAATAAACACTTATCAGACAGCCTTCGATCAAGGTAAATAGTGCCGTCAGAAAGGTCGGATTCCTGAAGGTTAGCCCAGAATAACCGAAACTTAACGAAATTCAAATAAACACTTATCAGACAGCCTTCGATCAAGGTCAAATAGTGCCCTTGAAAATATGGCGTGAGGCAGTTGTGCTTTTGCACTCGCTGGTTTGCAATAAACCTCATGTGTCCCTTGTCGACGAGTCTTTTTCCGTCACTAAGGCACTCGAGCAGAGTCAGCAGTCAGATACAACACTCTTAAGAGGCTTGCTGTTCCCCTAAAGGAACTTTTTCACTCTGTAAGACAGCCACCTCTCGATGATGAAGTAACTGTAATATTCCTCTTTACTTTACTTTTGAGACTACCTGAAACAGTTAAGAATCACCCGCTCGGATTCAACCATTTTAAGACTCATCAAGTGCGCGTAGCTCCCGAGTATCCATCAATCTTAATTTTGATTTTAACACTAGCTTGTCGTAACCTTACGAGTATATCAAGGAGCACACTTCCGCATCCTGAAAGTGACTTCAAATGAAACGGGTGGTTAACCTAATGTAACACAGTCCATTAAAGAATAATGTAAATTAGGCAGCTGAATTGCAAATAACTGCATTACATCATTAGATACCTCTGGGTGTATTACGTCTATTTCTTTGAGAAAATGTGATAATTGGATGGTATACCTCGAGTTTTCAACAAAAGGGTGTAATTCGTATCCACGATGGACTGACAACCGCCCTCAGCCAACTGGCGGCTGTGCATGGATATACCGTCAAATGTCATTAGCTACCACCGTATCTCTTGACACAGTTGAGACAAACCAAAGTCCAGGCTACAACTTATCAAAATGGGATAGGAATTTCTCCCTGTCAAAATACTGGTTACGTGAGGGTTCCAAAATCCTTTTACCAAATTTTCGGGTGTCACTATTATCGGTGATGTCCACGATCCACTAAACCGGATGAAGTATATTCAACTCCAACAGATGTATGATCATTTCTTGAAAGATATCGGGATTTATTTGCTGTTCTGCCAACTAATCGTGATAATTATTCGAGACAATTTTTGTCAAAGGGGCATCAGTAGGATTGAGAGACGCCGTTTAAAATACTTCTTTCTTGAGCCATTACCCTTCTGAGCATTCTNCTGCTCAACTAAATACTCTAATTTGGTTACTGCTTAGCAGTTGCCTAATTTAGTAGCCTATCCTGGAGATGGATTGATTCTTTTCTCATTTGCATTTTATAGATACATCACACAACTAGACGATCGTGTTATTTGATGTGGTTCACAGCGATTTTTATCGGCGCGCTGATCTTCGCGACTTTCCAACTGATTAAGCCTTTCCAATAGGATAAACTGTATGCGTGAAAATTATTCTGTCATCAGTGTCATGCTTGATATATGATAAACGTGCCTCGATAGCCACTTTTTCTGCTCACCATTGCTTTTTGAGTGTTTATCATAATGTTCGCGTTTTTTGCCGACTTGATCTCTTATTACGTTACCATTTTCAAACAGGTGGAGATCACATAGGCGTGTCTCTCTACCGCGTACACATTCTGACGCAGGCCATTGGGTGTTTAGGCAGCCTGCTGCTTCCGTGAAGTTTACGTGTTCCAAACAGTGAGCGAATAGGGTTTGGGACTAATGGGCCTGTGCACAAGTCCAGTAAATAAAAAAATTGTTCAACTGTACCAATTTCTGCGTCAGGCCATTCGAAAGAAACTTGAGGGATGAAGTAATACACTTTGAAGAACAGCTGGCCTTTGTACTAATTTTAGAGTTTGGGGCGCATGCTAGCGTTGGAGGTATCACTTTCTCGGGCTCTGGAGGCTTCATTTTGCTACGACAAACTGTTGTGTAAAATGCACTCGTTCGAAAATAAGTTTAGTGTTTACAGGGGACACGATTCAATCCGAGATGAAATTCTTGTTTATGATACTCTTCAACTGGACGCACTGCACGAAGGCAGTCCCACCAGTTTAATTTGCAAATGGTGTTCTTCGCCACTCGCGTACAATCTGGTGTTCACGCAGAACATAAGGTTGACAGGAACTTGGAGACTGCGCCTACCTGGTGAGCAGCAAGAAAGATGACACCGGCGGTGGCTAACAGGAGTGATTTCAACGAAATTGTTTTTAGTATTTACTTCAGGAAAGTAATCAGTAGGTCGTTTTTGCAACCACTGATGTTGGTTCCTTTCTGGGTGAAGTCTTTCGCAATTGTGCTCTGATTGATAGACTGTAGTATTTCCCGGAAGTAGTTGCGAGTGCTGGGTAGTCTATGAGATGCTTGGAATACATACTGAGCTGAATCATGGTGTTTTAGTCGGACATAGCGTAGGTTTGAAAAAGAGACCATTATGATTAGATAATATAAACTGGTTTCTAGTCCGTCATTTTTCGTCTGAGGACTTAATGGGAATATTCCTAAGCCCTATCAGACAGACTGAATTTAGCGGTTATGTCGATCACTTCATTTTTTGTAGCAAAAGCAATTCTACATTATGAATTTTGTTAGGTTCCACCAAGATCATTTCAGCAACAATTTGATATCCGTTTGTAAGAAAATGCATAAGCTTTAACGAATGGTGTACAAAACATCTGCGGAGAGAGTAAGTGGCTCTGTGTATGTGAACGCCAAAGCTGGCAGGTTTCATCCAATAAAAGAAACAATGGAGGGCTAAATGTTAGTGTGTTATGCTAAAAAGAAGGAAATTAAATAGGGGTTGCCTTAGAATGAAGTATTAACTATTCCATTGTCTACCCCTCGACGATCTTTGGAAAGATTTTCATTTTGAGCTACTTATGGTGATGTAGTAGTGCAATCTCCACCCTGTTCTGGAAAAATGAAATGTCGATAGGCTTATGAGAGACAACTTACCCTGTAGGGCCACCACACTAGTCTCAGAAAACTCCAGTGCCGATTGGAAATGTCTGCTCGCCTCTTTTGGGTGGCCTTGGAGCAACATGATTCTTCCAATGTTGATGTCGTAGTGGTGGTTCCGATTATCAAGTGAAGCGGCTCGTTCGGCGAGTTGAAAAAGCTTATGGAGAATGACGGTATCCCTGGCGCACTAGATTAAGGAAGAATGTGATTTCAACCTGGGCTTAAATGGAAAAAAATGGTTTCGAGTATTTTTAATACCGCAGAGGTGATTTTGTGGTTGCCAGATCGAAGTATAAAGTGACTGCATGCAATTTTTGTATGTATTTATATTATACTAACAGTATTGTATACAGTGACAGCATTTGTTCCGAAACCAAACGCGCAGAAAAGACTACAACGATCCGACAGACTGCCGTTTGGAAATTTCCGTTAAAATGCCATTGCTAGGGTAAATCACTACTTCGCCAAGGTGGCTTATTAGAGCAATAAAAGTTCACTTGCTATCAGGTATGTCAAACTCGCTAAATTATAAAGTACTGCTGGAACATGTGATGGAAGAACTAATCGGACGCTCATTTAAAAATGTTTGAAACAATATTACAACTTTATCAAAAGAACTACCTACAAGGGGTGCAAAGTACTTCGAATTGATATAGTACTGTTCTGCGTAGTTGGGTTCTGAATCATCCAGGGCGCGTGTAAGCTCGTTTATAGCCTTCCTCGCCTGAATTAACAATAAAAGCTTGTCTGCAAACGAAATTACCTCCGATATATTGCCCGAGTGACAGAGTGCATGGAGAACTTGGTACTTCAAAGCATCAACGCAGTTGCAATCTAGAGTGAGGCACCTGAAGAACAATTATTTATCATTCAGTCACCGTACCTTTGCGAAGTATCCATTGCCTGTTCCCAGTCTTGTGAGATCAATTGTAAATGCATCTTCGCAATAATCGCCGGGATATACTTGGGGAAATTTACAATAAGAATGTTTATAATGTCGAGAGCCGCGGAATAGGAACGGGACAGCTGAAAATAGTATGCCCTGCCCATTTGACACTCGATGCCAATCGCTTCGTCGTCACTACCGATTTAATGATGGGATGATTCATATAACCTACCCGGTTGAACCCTCGAAGTAACGAATTGCCTTTTTCCGTACGTTTTCGTCCTTGAGGAGCATATCGATCCAACCATTTAGGTTTAGGGCCTGTGCATTCCGAAATAAGAATAACAAAATATCAAATTTTGGAATCTACACTGAAATAGTCTATATTTAACTTCCGGTGGGTGATCGCTTCCCAGTGCGGATGAAGAGTTACCAACTCAGTGATTATTTAGTTAATTGAACTTACTTTTAGCATGCGCTTGGCAACTAAGTTTCCAAGCGGGTAAGGAGTTACCCCCCAACTGCATCGTTTTGGTGGAGCCACTAGCTACGTCCTCAACTACAGTAATGTTCTGTTGAAACTTCGAAGTGAGCTTGTACTTTTACATTTAGTTACCTTACTAGCTCATCGCTTTGTAGCATTCTGTCCCAATTAGTCCAACCAGTTGTCATTTAGGAGATTCTTTACCCCACAACAAGGAGGAATTAGTGTTTTAGGGTAGATCTGGACCAATATCCGAATCATGAATCCTTCATAAATGAAGGAAAGAACTGAATGGACGAGTGTCGCAGTATTACTCACATGATCGTTAGGCCACCAGTAACACTTTATAGATCTGCATAACATACAGCTCAAACACACATGACCTGCTAATTGATAGCGCGCAGTCCTCAGGTCACCTGCATATTTCTGCCAGGCCAGGTATCGCGTTAACCACTGTTCTATGTTCAAACTATACTGTAAAATTTCAGCCATATGTACCGCCGTGGTTTTCCCGGGACAATCACTTCTTTCACTGTGAACATCCGATGCAATTCCCTTTTTGTCGTAGGCCCAGATTCGTTCCATGGACACTCACCAATGCGTTCCATAATTCGAAGTGTAAAAAGATCCTGGTGAACCGCAGTATATCCAAAGTTCCTAAGCTGATTTGAGTTTCCCGAAACACTCACCCGGTACCACTTCAGGCAAGTATGTTGTCTAATATAGTATTCTATAGGGTTTATAAAATTATACGCACATATCTTGATTCGTTCCATGGACACTCACCAATGCGTTCCATAATTCGAAGTGTAAAAAGATCCTGGTGAACCGCAGTATATCCAAAGTTCCTAAGCTGATTTGAGTTTCCCGAAACACTCACCCGGTACCACTTCAGGCAAGTATGTTGTCTAATATAGTATTCTATAGGGTTTATAAAATTATACGATCTTGACTTGAGTAACTGGCGTCCTCAAACTCCCAAAAAAATACCATGAAGAAAAAAAATTTTGTAATCTGTATTCTACAAGGCTGTTTACTAGGCTTATCGGGTCGTATAAAAACATGAACAAATGCAGTATAACATATTTGAACTTTTCGCGGACTACCTTATGCTATACCGTTCGTTTTCTTCTAGGAATGAAACAAGAGGACTACTTTCTTGGCAGAGCACTACCCATAAGATTGCTTGAAACTACTCAATCACATACAAGTGGCTCGCCCTTTCTTGAACTCATCAGATGCACATTGTCCCCGAGTCCCCATCACTTTTGTGTTTTGCTTAACACATAGTTGTAGATAACTTACAAAGTACATTCATTTGCAAAGTTGACTTGCGCAGACTCAACTGCATCTCTCATTTACAATGTTTTCATCTGGATGAGGTGCACACGTTTGGGTTGGAACTCTTTTCGAGATAACGCGGTACATTTTATTGGAACAACACTTCACTCATTGAGGTCACGGGTAGCGTGTTGTGGTAGATGATTATAATTTCTCGAATACCCTGCAACGTGAAACATGGGACGGACTTGATGCAGCACATCCAGTTGGCTAACAGTTTAAACATATTCATTTCAGCCCCTCATTAGTAAAACTTCACTCTCTTAGTCACCATTTTGGGGTAATCAAACAAAGAATTGAAGCCTTCCGTGACATTTCTACTGCAACATACACATCACTGACCTTGTTAACGTTGGGCGAGCATTTCTGAAGTATGCGACGACACTCACGAACGCACTAGCACACATTATTTGTCTACACATAGTTACATTTTCCGACTTATGATAGAAGGATATTAACTGCAATTATAATAACTAGGATACACGGCACTCATGGAAAAAACTTAATCTCCACAACATTCAATACAAGGAAAAATGAACTGGAAAGGATCATGTTTTTGGGTTAGCCTACCTCAATTAAAAGTGAATTTGATTTGATGGCCCTCTCAATATACTCTCGGGATTTTTCGTACTTTCTCAAGTAGAATAGCACTAAAGCTGCGTAATACAAGGTCTTTCTGCAAGTCAGAAGTCGAATTGAGATTCACTACCGTAGAGGAAGCATGTCTTCGTAGTTCACGAGTCTTCGCTTCAAATTCCTTCACAGCCTCGGCATCTGGTTCAACGGTGAGTATGAGTGTAATGACATACCAGTTTCTGGATAAGCTTTGTGCGCCTGAGCCAATGCAACCACGGAGGCCAGATGGAAATCCTCTTTATCTTTAAACTCACTGAACCGCTTGCTTGCCTCTTGTAAGTTACCTGGACAATAGCAAGGGAATGAAATTTGAGGATCACCTTCAATTGCGAAGATCACGGCCATGTGGAACTTTAAGAGGTCATCATGTGGGTAGCGCTTCATTCCGTTTTCAAGGGCAATGCGCGCATGATTGGGATACCCCTCTCGAAGGTAGTAAAACGCTGTTGACTGGTTGACAGTGGATTAGAATAAACTGATAGTCTTTCGCCTACCAAAACTTCCTGATCAACACAAGTCATGCCTTTCAGCACACACAGTAGTTTACGAAAGGAACTTGCTTTAAAAGATCGTTTCCTGAAAATGCTGCAATTAATAGGAAATGCTGATAAAGGCAGCAAAGTTAAAGACTCCTCGGAAAAAAGCCACTGGAGGTCACGAAGCACTTTACATGGGACATTATTCTACACATCTGCAACGGTGTAACTTGACATACTGGTTTGTTTCTCCCTCAAAGTACCAGGGTCATATTGGATGTAATGCATGCAATATTCAAAATGGATCTAGAATGTTTCTATCGCACACCTGTTTACTATATCTCGGTAAAAAAGTCAGCCCTGACGACAGTAAAATCCAACTTTTTAAAATTGGGTAACAGATTAGTTGAATGGGGTAGCTTATCCCGGTCAGCCTAACTGAACAAACAGAAAACTTCTGTTGTATCACTGTATGAAACAATTGTAGATGGAAACCAAGGTTAGGACGAGTAATATAGTGATGAAAAATACCATAAATGCAGCTCCGGTTCACATACAAATATTCTATTATAAACTGCAACAAAAACGTTGAGGATTCAGGTATTTCTCAGCATTTACCGCTGTCTTTCGAAAACACCAAGCGAGCGACAAAAAGCGAGTAAATATGTCCCAGAGTTTATGTTTCCAACCCTGTAGAATTTTTGCTTGCCTGACGTGGTAACAAACAAACTGACTGTCTCTTTCACCAATCCTCTGTGTCCGGTTGCTGTTTGTGAGGTGAATAAAAAACAGAATATTGCATCTTTGATCTTATACGTTGCTTAGTATTAGTATGTTCGTCTACAGTGCAAACAAACATAACATGGACACCATCCCTGATGACAATACAATGGCGAACAAAAAATGTCATATGGGCGAGAAACTCTTAATGCTTCCTCCGTTTTCTTGGAAACCGTTTTATTCTCATTCATTTTATTTCTACATGTTGGTCGTTAAAAATGCATCTGCTGACTACTGGAGCCACCGAATAACCATGTTCATGAACTTTCACACACCTAGAATGAGTAGTATTCATCACGGACGATAGATACAACTCACGCAAACTGTTCACATATTTGTTCCACTGAAGCACACTATTTCAACCCAAATAACCCTATCTTAGTCTCAGTCAGGTTTTTATTTTCCGAGATTCTGAGTAGGTTAATTTTAAAAACTCAGTAATCTTTATTGAATTGAATCAATGGAAAACTCGGTTGCTCTAACAGTCATCTGTGCAAGACAAATTTTTTCCACAGAAATCACTACAATAGCTTTTTCATTGAGACATTGTGGCACCCAAATCCGTCCTGCCTGTTCAACAGCATATCAAATACCACAGCGTGCGTCATGTTGTTTATGTTATGTTGTTTCACTCTGTAATTAGAGATACGAACTTCCATCAAAAAGCCATTTTAAGTAAATTTTTATTTAGTACTGGACCAACACTCGAAAGCTAACTGGTCGGAATATTCCGATGGTTATTCTTCTCAAATACATGGTTTTCCAGGTTACCTTGATAATTGGTCTGGTTTGCTTATTAGCCGTCTGAGTTTTTTTGGACTGGAACAATTGGTGTTTTTATTCGAATGTTCTGTTTAAGGAGATGAGATTTTTGAATCACGAAAAAACCTCCACTGGCATACAATGTTTAGGAACAGATGTGCTGCTTCAAATAAGATGGAGAAGCCTAGTCTGCGGGGTTTATTCCTAAAAGTTATACTTGTTTCTGGCTGAGTTGCCCCCTTGACTTGACTTTGCTCCTGTTATTGCTGGTGACCATGTCTATGTACACGTTTACACTCGCATGGATGGGTCCAGGCATATACTGAAACCTTTCCCTCTATATTTTACATCACACACATTTTCATGTGTTGCAGAAATGGCTCACTGGATTCAAGCTCTATGCTTCTTGCTTGCTGTCTTTTTTCCCACTGGGTCGAAATGATACCACTGCTATCTGGAGGAATCTACTGCTATCTGGAGGAGCCCCGACGGCCATCTTCGGGTTTTCCTCCCAACTTTTGTATTTTGAAGGTTACGCCAAAATCAGATGTGCACAATTTGGATATGCTGCTTTGTCAATCGATCCCCACCTGCAGACTTACTTTGTAGGACAGAAATATGACACATCTATGATCTGAAATATGCTTACTTTTAATAGTGGGTTGCATATTACTCTGGGTATTTTTCTCCGCCAAAATGTTGCTCCATTTTATACACTCGACTTTTTTCGGCTTTGGTATACAGCAGCAATTTCGCTAATGTTTACAATTTTTCAGGACTCTCAGGCGGCCACATTTCTGAGACCAGCAATTTAAATACAACGCCAAGAATGATTGTAGTGTTGTGTTGGATTGTGGTTCGTACGGCTGTGGAAGTATCGGAGTTTCGAATACCGTTTTGGTCCTCCAAGGTTATTCCAGCACAGTCGCCTGCGCAAATGCTGAGCATATTCTGTGCGTTGTTGTGGGGCTCGAGATGGCTCAGTAGTTTTTGCGCTAGCTTAGTGGCTTAAACGCCCTTGATTGTAAATAAACTTCTTCACCTTGACTGTTTCTATTTGAGCTTGAGCAACCTAGCTGGATTTTGGCCCTTGTGCTTCTTTTAAGTGGCTCAGCAGCTGAGCGTAGAAAAATTGTTACAGCTGAACCATTATTCTTCTGTATGGTTGTACGGCAGCCAAGCATCAGTGACACACTAATGTTGCTGTACCTGATGATGTTAATAATGATGAAGTCGCAAAATAAGGAACCGGTGTTACTTCATTAAACCTCCTCACTCATGTCATGGTAAAGTATGCTCAGTCATCTCTAAATCAGCGTGATGAAATCTGGATTCCTCCCCGAAAGTCATTTTGCTAATCTCTTCTGCAATACCTAAAAATTACTGACATACAGATTGATCTTGTCTATTTTTCGCTTTCGATGTGCTAACCGCTTACCGTTGATACTCTTGTTTCTCTGGCGTTATATCACGCTTTAGCCTATGCTCCCTTTGCGCGAATTTGTTTATTAAATGCTCTGAGTCTGATTATGATTCGCTGCTGCCGGCGATTGGAGACGGACGGCACTACTACGGTTCACCTTCTCACCAACTTCATCTAATAGTCTTACTTTATTTTTCGCCACTTTTTCATTATGACCCTGCCTCTTATTTGTGCTTTCTGGATGCGGTTGTTGTAGTACAAAACCATGACACACTGCTGCTTTGAAGAATTTCGTGTTGCAAATTTATGACTGCTTCAACGATTTGGATGCCACTTTTGTTCTTCGCAGCTTTTCCTTTAACTTCTAGTGCTTTGACAAGTTTCTGCTCCTGTTCCTCTAGTTTGTCATTCATCCTGTGGACACTACAGGCAGTTGAACGCCCCTGGTACGTTTCCTTTCTGGTCATTCCTAATAATCTCGACCGTGGTTCTGGGTTTTCGACTAACTGACCTCTTTTTCACTATCACTTCGTTGGAGGTAAGCTTGACAACAGCTAACTTCTTCCCCAGTAAACACAATGCCACCGGTAGCTAACGGTGACCAAAGGTGGCTAGCTTTGCCACTGATTCCGTTGGTGAATATAAGCCAAACATAGCGTTTGTTGCATAAAAGCCTTCTGAAAACAAATGTAACAGGATACTCTGGCTGCTGGAGCTCTATTTACGAAGTAATTTTTGAAATCGATTTGCTTGAATGCACCACCGATTAAATATATCATGAAATTTTCAGGTTGCCACCTTTGGCCGCATTTAGCCACCGGTGGGTCCATCGGCGGCAAGTGTAACATACCACCCCTATTTCCCACATCTTGCCACCGTTGGTGCCGCGGTGACGTATTTACTGGGTCCTTATTCGAACGATTCTAATCATTACACGCACAACGAGTCACCGAACTCGTGCTCGCAATCATCAAGCTGGCCAGCCTGCGAATTTTTCATTTAATGACCAAGCAAACTGTACATTTTGTTAGGAGTTGCTCGCGTTTTGATGCTCAAAAACACCCTCTCAGAGCAAACAAACCAACATGAATTTGCATCTTTTACCAACATTCCTCACAGGAAATTTCAAGGTCTGATAAACTCGGATGCTCACTCAAGCGACTGGAAGACTTAGTAGGGCCGTTAAAGGAGTCTAAATTCTGTATTCACTTGGCGAGTTTTATTTTGAATTGGAGTGCAATGAAATTGACCAATGTGCGACGTTGCTATACCATCAAAGGGGTTCACATAATAACTTTGGTCATTTGATGTGATAAAACAAATCCAATGTTTGCGCAATAGCAGTATCTCCCACTTTTTGCAGAGGAGTAAACCAAGAATCCCCGGACGTTTATGTTCACCCTCCCCCGTGTCTACGATAAACGTGCGCTTGGGAGAAATCGTGTCTTAAGAGTAGTGGTCAAATTACTTGAGGCTTGCACACAGTTGGACTTTGAAATGATACCAAAATGACGGTTCCGTCATCATATTTAAGAAGATGATTAGTAATCCCCCCGCTTTTTTTGTTTTTGGAGAAAGTTTCGACGTTGCTGAGCCTTACCATTCTTGCATACATTTCAGTGAACTGCTTGATTTACGGATTCCTGGGTTTATGAATTTATGTACAGGATAACGACTTTTGCCACGGCCTCATGGCCATGTATGCTCTCATCGTTGAGCGAGCTGCGAAAGCTAGAAACGGCGCAGTACTGCTTTTTTAATTTCTCGGCGTTAAGCACTATGAGCCAGTGTGAGCATCCACTTAAGAATCATATTTAGTCAATTCGAACGGCATTTAAGAGCTATTGATTTACGATCACGTCACGCGTCAGCTTCAATTTCTAGTATATCCATCCATATAAGATACTCCCGTTTTCTTGAGTTTGAAGTGTCGTGAAGACGATATACGGGCACTGCGCATACTTCATCGTCTTTTCCAGCGAGAAGACCAAGATGTTCCGTTTGTGTTAAGATAGTGCAAGTTTGCTCCTTGTGTATTAACCATCCCAGGTCCTTTCCTGATTACTTTGAAGTTTTCTACAAATGGTAAGGTTATAGGCGTAATGCGCCACCACTAATTTTCCTGAAATCTCTGACATCTTTGGATTTTTGACATGTCTTACTCTTTGACCTCTTCTGCCGAAGGGTTTTCAGCAATCCAGTGAATAGTCTATTACTTCTATACAGTATTTCAGCATCCCGAAAATGGTATTGGCTGAAGCGTGAGTGGCTTTGTGCAGCACACTCAGTCGAGAAAGAGCACAATGAACGAGAAATTCAGTTACGTTTTACGTTGTTCTCCTGTCAAGACCAAATATGCATGCAGATGAGTGTTAAATCGAAGGCCGAGGCTATGTTTGCTTCAAGTCGGTGGAGGAAACCCCTGACCATTACATACTATACGGTGCATCACAGCACTCCATAGTTCACAACTATTCAACAGGCATTAGGTGAGATGTCAGATAACAGGTGAGGAAACTTAAGGATCACTTGGGACGTATTTGTGCCAGAGGAAATTAAGCAACCAAGGAGGTAGGTTGGAAGGCAATTATCACAGGAAGTTCAACAAAATGAACATTTTGAGCACACCTCCCACAAACTCACCTACGTGAGGTTTTTGTCGCACGGTCAGAAAACTCGTCGGAGTTGCCTGGCACCCTGGGTAATGATTTTGTGGTTCGAACCATAATATTTCAGGCCGGTGTAATTACACATGTTTCGCCAGCACCAAGCGAGGTATACTCGAATGCCTTTCTCATATGGTCAACACAGACGCTACGCATATATGTGTCAGAGCAGCGCTCTTATTCATCCATTAGTTAAAACGTTCTGGCCACTGCCGTTATAGACAGAACGGATAAGACGGCTGTGTTCGTCCCGGGCTTTACAGACTTGCATTGCGGAACGAATGAGACGCTCAGCGAACGCTTCAAAATCAGCGAACGTGGGCCGTTGGCCCCACTATCAGAAGCTTTTTTGAATATTAAGCGCAGGTTCAAGTTAGCGCTTTGAAAATTATCTTGCGTTTGATATCTGTGTGCCTTAATCCCATGTCCGAGTGGAGTTGTACTGCAATGCAGATTCCAACTTGGTGACATGGTGTTCTGACGCAAACGCCTGCATGAATAGAGGACTGCCCTAATAGTGGAGGCTGGCTAAGGTAAATGTGGGTAGGATATCCGATGTCCAAAGAGTATTAACATTGGACTTGTTTTCGCCAAAATGCGTGTGGTGAACAAGCTTTTGCAGCACCTAGCAATTCACTGGTTGAAAGTCACCAACTAACAGCTTATTGGTCAGAGGAATCCAGCCTTTTACCCAACGGCTTCACACACGACTTCCGCAACATGAACTTCCAGAAAACGAAGCGTCCTACTGCAATAAATATGCTGCATAGCCACACTCACTCTGGTGGTATATCCGCAACCGTCTACATACTCTCGACTATTCCCTCTCAGGCATTTGCCTGTGAATAAAGATGAACTGCTTGCTTGGAACAAACCATCATGGAGTTGGGTTAATTTTGATTCACTAAACCCTCTGGTGGATTTACTTACTGTCTGCCAGCCTGCTACGTTCACAAATTAAATGACATTCTTTTTTATGGTCTCTAGGGCTTACGCATTAGCAATCCATTCAGGCGTTTATCTCTAGTAAGAATATCTCCCCCACTTACGCCTTCCAGAACCCCAGGCGTCAGTTCAGCTTTTCAGAGTCATCCGATCACTGGATGCGGGCCGAAACTTATTTCACCATGACTATAATATTTTCAAAGTGAAGAATTTTACAGGGTGCTAGCGCGCTATAGTGGTGTGTGGATTATAGCTGTTTGTCTGCGACATTTCAATGTCTGCGAACACCACCTATTCGTATGCACTGGCCGCCTTACCGATAAAGCATAAATTAAAATGCTGCAAAACTTACCGGTCCGTGGTTTTTCGGGATCTCAAACAACATTTACATAATTCCGGATGCAAATTCTCCCCGGCAAAACCCCGAAAATTTCCGCGGTAGCTCGATATGAGATTGCCTCTTGCGACGCTGGTTTAGCGTCGGGTATAGCGTTTATAATAAAAAAATTTTGTATCTAGCCCATGCTGTGAGTGGCGTAACGTCAAGCCTAGTCATTAGCCATGAATGAGGACACGACTGAATTCAGTTTTGGAAGCCTGGTAGTGTGCGGAAGTGAAGCAGTCATATGAAGAATGGACACTGTCCAACACAGATAAATTGCCGCCATAATCGACGCGACCTAAGTGCAGTGAATGGCATGGACGTTGCAACACATTTGGTATGAGGGCAGTGTGGCGGGAATTTGGGGTTGAATGAAGGCTGCATGTAAAAATTGCGGAACTGGCTCCAGAAGGGCATGATGCAAAGCTTGACAGTCTTGAACTAAAACTGGTAACCGTTACAAGATTGGAGTATTTTTGGACATTGGCTGTAGTCACAAAATGCAATAAGATGGTGACGAATCACACCTGAGCTGGCTGGAGAAGAAATATGTTTTCCACGACTGGAATGGGATGAGCTGAAATGGAATGAGTTGAACCCGGGTGAACTCACTGGTTCGGAGAAGGGTGTCCATGGTGGGGCTTATCTAGGTATGAAAATTATTGGCACTCTGTACATCCAGGTTGTCATCATGATAGAAATAAAAGGGCTTAGTAGAAAAACAAGCAAGCATAACACTAGATTGGAGTTCTGTTATAAATATAGCGGATCCAGACGGTATTTTGAACAAATGTTCATTCTCGGCCATGAGATAGCGGGTATGTTGTGGACTAAGGGCAAGCAGTCAGATTGGCCGCAGTAGTGTTACCGTGAAGTTATACTTGTTCTCGTAAACAGTCCCGTACATGAACTTACCCAATAAGTGGGTTGGAAATTATTAGCACAGTTGCAGAGCACATCATCCGTTGGTGCAGACATTTGCCTTCGTTCTTGACGATGCCCCTCCGACACGGGGCCTGACTGTCCAAATCGGTGATGGAGTCGTGTTGTTACAATTAGACCCTTTAAATATCTTAACGAGCTGCATGTATTTAACCGCTTCAGTTTACCAACAGAACATTCGAGCACATTGTGTGGTTCTTCTGCGGCTGGCGGATGCAGCTTGAGGGCCAGAGGCAGAAGCAAACCTTGCTCTGGTGGGTTGTATTAAGCCGGTTACCGTTGATGGATTGGAAAACTACCCATCCAAAATATACATGAAGAATGAACTTACTGTACACGAACAAATGGCCTCTGAATAATCAAAACAGGTGCACGCAAGGTGGTTACATGGATTTATAAAAAATGCACGTGCATCAACCACGGTGCAAACTGTCTAGGGACATTTGAGCATTTGCACGAAAAATCAACCGCTATTAAGAACGTGCTTTCAACCTTGTAGAGGTAGACATGAAGGTACTTCGGCTTGGTTGGTGTGTAGGTTTGTGTCTGAGAACCCGGTCAGAAAGGGCTTTCGTCGTGCAGTGAGTCACACAGGGAACGTTGCCCTCTCCCTTCAAAATTCTAGTCTGTCACAAGGGTAAATGTTTTGCACCTCACTTGCGTATGAGTCACCTACCATGCCGAACGAATACTGGATCATTTGAGGCTATCTGCGTAGAGCATACCCTTTTGAACCGCTCGCTTTTGTTCTCATGACAGTTGTTTGTCACATTTTCGGAGCGAATCGACCCGTTCAGCGCGTGAACGACTCAACTAATAAAGACACGCGCAGGTGGCATTTAGTTATCGAAGGTTTCAGCGTCCGTTCCATGCACAATTATTAAATCGTAGTGAAGGCAAAATAGCTGTTATCCTGTTGCTTAATCGGCCGCGATATCAGAGCGAGCTATTAAGTGGGATGTGCGTTGGCTGCTTTGACAGATAATTTTAAAAAATGAAGTGTTTGTGAAAGGCACATGCGTCTCTGTGGCCTGGGGTACGCGAAGTTAGCGCAGCGTTACGTTACAGCGGCGCTTATCTTTGGTGGCTCGCACATTTAATATCATTTTGTCCATCACAAGCCTCTTAATGTAGTAAAATTTACACATCGTGCCTTTGAACCAGTTGACCAATGTGCGCGGGGGGACAGAACGATTGCTTTCGACGAGGGCCTACATGGTTGGTCTCCCAACACTTATGCCATTGGCCGTAATGACGGTGTACAGCTTGTACGTACATAGAAAGGTCGTTATAAACATCGAAAATGGCTCTCGGATGTGTGTGGACAGCATACGTGGGGCTAAAATGGCCATTATAAGATTCTCCCACGAGTTCAAGGGGGAAAGCTCTTCATCGCAAAGTCATTTATTATCAAACACCAACTAAACAGTTACAGACTATTGGACAGGAACGTAAACATCTCATATGCAGGTAGTTTAAAATACTGTACGTTATTACGCGTCTTCTTGAACTTTCATGGGCATTCGTTGACCACTACCCCGTTGTACACGACCGCTTCAAAGCGTTCCACAAGTTTCTTAATAAACCTCACTTTTCACTAGACGCAGGACGGATCTTCGAGAAAACCACAGGCTACCCACATGAATCAACAATGGAATCCGCCATTACACGAGTAGATAGCCAAAAGTACCTCTTTACGCAGAACGTAAACATGGTCCTGCCTATTCAACAATATAGGTCGATACTTGGATTCGTAGCTGCATATATCTCTTGTTGTCAGCCCCCTCCCAGTACACGACTGCACCCATAAGGAGGCAGTCTCGCAATTGGGCAGATCCCAGCGCTCTTCTAACTTATCGCACGTAATGACTGACCGTTAACAAGCTGCCCACCAAAAAAGGAAGCTGCTGACCGTGCTAAATGTTTGCTCGAAGTGATACGACGCCATCGTCTAAGGGTCTTTGTCCCGGAGACGGTGGAACCTCGCGTGGCACAGCATACGCCTTCTGCCTAAAAATCCACCAAGCCTACTAGCTGCGGCGAACTCCTTGGCCGTATCTTCTTTTGGTACACTGCTTGCTGCAACAACGGTAAACATTTTTGTTTTTAAGCCGGGAATAGTTAATTTTCTTTAAGTTCACGCGGGTAAAATTTAAGCATCACGTATTACTTCAAAGCAACTCGTGTGCAATACACGGGGACACGAACAATACACGGAACACGTCTAAATGCAAATTGAAAACTTATCTACAGCGCACTGTATATAAATTGTATGCGGCGACAGCATTTTGGGAAATCCGACGTCTTCTGGACACAGCACTGACAACGGCATAGGGCTGCTGGGCCCACAATTTCAGCCAACCAGGACTTGGATTGATGCTGGACCGACAAACGGCCCGATTATTCTGACCAATCGCGTGCGGGATAGGCGCTTGGACGTGGCGGCGTCTAACTGCGTGCGGTAAAGGTGTAGTATACGTTTTCTGTCAGTTTGATTGATTCATATGTAAGTATTGGTGATGTACAACCTTGCTTACTGGGCTTTGGCTCATGAGCTTTGTTTCTGTTTTCCATCCACAGAAATTGTCGCGAACACCTGCCATCGGAGAATCACTGTCCCCTGGTGCTTCCATAGCGTGCATATTACAAAAGGGTTTTCGCTGCGGAAATCCGCCTAATATTGGGGAACTTCTGTTTGCGACACATCCCAACCAAGTTCATCCAAATATTGGATACCTGATAGAGCCCTATCTTTGCTGAACACCAGGAGGCAGATCCCCGTGACCGCGCCCTTATCTTTGAAGGTCAAGGCGAATTCGCCTTGTACTTAAGTACAAGCCCTGTTGAATAAATTGACCCACCGTCATACCATCCTTCGGCATGCGTCTTGCATCTTCAAAGTCCAAATCCATGCTTCAGAACGTACATTTTGAACATAGTTTTTACATTTCAAAGACAATCACTGGAGGTTGTGGAGAATTTGACCTACCCCGTCAGTTGTATTGGCCTGATGAAGTCAGTGCAAAAATCTCGAAGGGCTGAATCGCGTTTGCTAGCTTGCGTCACTTGTGTCAAAGGGCATATCACTGGGTCTTAAGAGTTGCGTGTACCATAAGGCTACAATAAAATCTGCGTTGTCGTATGACTAGCCTCACAGATGGTGTGAGGCGTCTTCAGTTTTTTTATGCCACCGATGCCTCAGAAGGAATATCACTAGTACCACAACTTTTCGATGAGTTCATGAAAAGCTCTGTAGAATTTCAATACTCCTACGCTGAAAACATCCAGCACCACCAACCATGACGGCTCGGACATGTTATGCATATGCCGAAACAGCATTTACCGACACGAGTGTTGCTCTCCGTAACTCCTTCAGAATGGCGCGAACCGCGAGGTTGTCAACGTGCTACGCAACTTGCCACGCAAGCAGATTAGCGTTGTATGCCTTTTCGGATGGGGTCTCCGTGACCTCGCCCTCGTTTGGCTGGAGGTGGTGCGGGGAATAGCGGCTAAACGATGTCAGTGGCGTTCGTGCTGTCAGTTTCTTTTCAGGCTGTATGCTTGAGCTCTTGGGGGTGTACCACGATGTTTGACTTAGGCGAGCACCGGGTGCCATCTCTCACCCGCTATTTATATCTTCCCTTCATTCTGAGGCTTTAAATATGCCTACCTGAACTTTATGGTTGTACCGCAGTGAAGCGTCAGCGCCTACACTAATGTTGATGTTTCCGATGACGATACTTGAAGAGGCGCACGAAAGCGATTATCAAAAGTGTAGGTGCTTTTGGTGCAACTCGCCTCCCAGAGGGGGTCCGCGTTATCTCTTCGTGTTTGGTTGAAGAAGCTGCGAAATACGCTTGCTAATCGATGTTCGTGGCGTTCCTGTTCCACAATGGTTGTCGGAATGAGTGTTCAGAGGTGTCGGCACCTCGGAGTGCTTTTGGTAGGTTAGCACTTGGTCCCTTTCCCATCCACTATTATTCTTTTCTTCACAACAGAGCTTTCAAATAAATTATAGTTGTACGGCAGTGAAGCATTAGTGTTGAACACTGATGTTATGCTGTCGATGGTGAGATGTCATACACCGGTGGCGTTACATACCATGTTTAATATTTAGACATGTTTACAAAGTTGCTCAAGTACTGATTAGCTAACGGCTTGAATTTCTCTGAGACAGTCAGTTTACGAGAGTGAGGAAGCAATGGTAATTACATACTTAAACTAGTTGTTTAAACTCTTCACGCGCTGAACGCTTTCAACTGAGACAGTAGTCCTATAATTCGAGCCGTACGATCTGCTTGCAATGCGTACAGTCTTCCGTTGAAAACTACTTCATTGTCCACTTGGAATGTCGATATATCTCAGTGGTTAAGACACCAGCTTGCAGGTCGGAAGGTCTATTGTTCGATCCCAGCCCCATCATCTCGACTGCTGCTGTCTAGACTTAAGCAACATGGCCTTATCCAAACCCTCGTGTCTCCCTCTTATAGCCACCATAATGACGGAACCTTTCTAACTCATGACTTTGCGGAACCAGGTGCTATAAATACCTCATGGTACCTGTTTTGTCTTACCAAAATATATAAATGTTCCACTTAGATCTAAGCTTACCTTGGACGAAGGCTCGTAGACGTGACCGTTGCAGTTGTCTATGTTTGAACCATACATAGACTTCACTCTTTGGCGGCGTATTCAATGACGTTAAAACGCACGCATCTGTCATTGATGCATGGAACGCACACAGTATTGTCAGCTTTCATATAATTCGTCTCCCTGATGGCTCTCTGGTACATAGATGGCATTAGACAGACTGCCCGTGAATCAGAAATCGAGACCAACAGGAAAAGCCAGTCTCAGAAAAGCCGTTGTCTGAGCTGCTGTCATCTGGCCCATGTACGCAATGGTCTTAAGGCTGACAGGAATGCGGATAAGTAACGATGGCCTCAGAGTGTTGCATTCACTTATATTCGTCTCAACCACGAGAGGCTTTTGATGCTTTAGAAGAAGTATAACAAGCGGTCACTAAACGGGTGGGGGGACAGGGGGTTTCTTTAATTGGAAGTTTCGATCCACTCGTCCCGGAATAACGACGCGCTCTGTGCAACTGAGGTTTATAAAATACCAATTAGGGTAGAGGCTTTATAACAGATATACATATATTTGAACCGAGAGACAGCAAAAAGTCGAGCGAATGTGGAAAAATGCTAAAATTGAGGGATGCGCGCGTAGCATTTGGAATCTTGGAATCGAGAACCACAAGGCACGTTGAAGATACCTTTACTTGCTTCCTGACGTCCGTTGATCCAGATTTTATCCGACCACGGAGGCGACACTATTTGTGTTGCTTGTGTTAGGTCATGGTCTCCCGTGATCTGCTTACGCTCACTTTAGTATATTGCGTGGTGCTGAATTTTGAGTCAGTTTATTTCGTTTCTAAGCTTCTTAGTATCTTGAACACCTACAATGCATGTATTCGTATAAGAACCGCCATATCCCTCACAGAACATGGATGAGAACCCCGAAAACCGCTGCCATGTAGCCGGTAACTGACAGTGCAACGATGTCACTAGCAATGCTGGGTCTCCTTGTGGAACAGGCATTGTACTGTCGGAATCATCCCGTGGCGAACGATTTGTGATTTGTACTACCTTCGCCAATCCACATTTACATGACCAGCCCTCCCACCCGAACCGTGATTCACCGCACACACTCGCTTGAGTAGAGAAATGATATTCGGACACTTCTGAGATTGAAGGCGGCTCCATATTTACTGTCCACTTTTCTGTTGAAGGCCGGGTTTCTGGATTGGGGGTAGCAGGTGGCCAACTGAATTGCTGTTCGAAGTACTGTGCCCATCGGTCCAGACGTTCTGCTTTGCTGCATATCAGGGAGCCATTTTGGTCCCTGATTGTTTCACTGACAAGAGGTTTCCGAGGACCAGTCGAACGAATCAAGTGGAACAATTTGCGCACGTTTCCAGCATTCCTTGCATCTTCCATTTCTTCGACCTTTCGGGTCCACCAAGGTTCTCGGTCTGCGCGGACACTCAGTTTCACCTGGCGTCGGATGATGCGCCGGGTGGAGTTGTGGTGGCGACCAGTTGGAATCTGTCGCC